TATAATTGATTAACCAGTTCACGTGAATTTTACGAGGTGAATTGACAGCTCGTAGTTGGCAAATCACATTTTTTTGTTTTTTAGGTGCTGACCTGGGGGTGGGGGGAGAAGGGTTAGGCGATGAGAAATGGGTGAGGATGCTTGTCGTACCTTTTAGGGGTCAAAATCAGCGATCTGGTACCTTTTACGGTGTCTGAAACTTAAGTGGACTACCAGATACGTAGTTGGTACGTTTTAGGGTGTTTTTTCGCTAAAAAAACCCTGAAATAAGCATTACTAGGACGATTTTTGTCTTATGTACAGGGTCCCCCGGGGGATGCTGATACGTGCAGCATGCTTCAAATTTAGCAAGGACAAATTTGATGTGATTTTTGGTGAAGAGAAACAAGTTTTGTCAGCGTCCAATAGCTAGTACGGGAGGGCCCTTTACTACTGTGTGCATAATTACGCGTCCCGCCAGAATTAAATTTTATTGATTGGAGTAAACAGCTAGTAGCGGCCAATTCAACTACAGCAGTCAAACACTGCGCATGCACGTGTTTTGAAAAGAATACGGGGGATTTTCAAACGCGTGTTCTGCGTAAAGTGGAGAAGGAGAGGTTAAGTTCCTAACTATTCCAAATTGAATGCGTAATACAGTTGAGAGAGGGATTTCGGAGAAAACTTAAATCTTGGTCTAAATCAAATTACAGAACCTTTCTTCTACCCTCGCTACACAGTCTACTATCATAACATAGACCTGTTATCGTCACCAATATCTCATCTGGCACTGGTTCTTCCTTTTTTCACACATTTCCCTCGGTGATGACGGCAACTCCACCATAAATGCAATAAGGAATAACCACCGCCAGCACGTCCAGGCTTACGATTTCATCGCGCCGCTAGGCAAAGTTTAAAAAAAAAGTACGAGAGTGTAAACTAGAACCACATGGGTCAAGTCTAGAGCAACAAAGCGTATAAGTCTAGGCCTTAGAAACTTTGAACTTTCCTTAGAAACTGCAAAAAACTACGCATCATTTGGATTCTCAATGTCTAGAATAGGAAGGAGAATTGCCGAGAAAAGAACTTTACACAAGAATCAAATAAGTTGTTGCATTTTTTTTTGACAATGAAGGCACTCGTGTGGTTTGCTTCTCAGCTATTTCCCCATCGATGAATAAAATAATGGTTTAAAAGTTAAAATAAATAATGTAGAGTCGAAAGAAAAGTAAATATGTTACGAAATGAATAATTTAGTATTTGATGAAATTTCGTACTCAAAACGAGGCCCAGGGTGTCATGGCTGGATGATGTCTCCTCAGTTTCCTGTGTGCTTCATATCTTAATTAATTAACCCTTTAACTCCCATGAGTGACCAAAACAGAATTTCTCCTTACAATATCAATACAAAATCAACCAGATTAGTGGTGAGAATCAAGAAAAATGTCAATTTGGGGATAATTAGTTGATCCAATACTATATTCTCTGGACTAACATTATGAGAATTGTATGACTGATGGTAAGGAGAAATACAAATTTGATCTGGGAGTTAAAGGGGTTAACACAAACTGTTTACTGGTTAAGATGCAGTCGCTGTTCGGTTGGCGCGACACAGAGAGGCTGTGTACCACTGGGGGTGCGCAGTTAGTGTTAGTTGTTTGTTGCGGACCAATCTATAGTAAAACATATCAGTCACACCTAGTCGTTTTATGGAGAGTATCAATTGTCTTACTTTACTTTAACTTGAAGTTATATCCGTTCTTTACTGCTAGAAAATTAGTGAAGTAAAACAAGCAGTGAAACAGGCAATCAGAGAAGCACTTTGCTGTCCGTAGCGTTACCTCCTCCTCGGTTTGGTTTTGTAAGACTTTCATTAAGTCACGATTATTATTAGGGAACGCTCGTCAAAAATATTATTGATTAAGCGGAAGAAATAGAAGTTCAGTAGAATCGTTGTACGTCGAGCTTTTGTTAATAGTCTTTTCAAAGAGTAAACGCTAGTGAGGGAGTTCTGATGTAAATGTTGCTGATGAAGGTAGAATTGAAGATCTGTGCGGCGAATTTTGATAATTCCTTGGCATACGTCCATTGATTTTGGACCACCACTTATAAATTGTGTTCTTCACTTCAGCATTACGATGTAACCGTTGCAATCAAAGTAGAATTTTGAAAATTGCCTCAGAGCATCACAAAGTTACCTGCCGTTTACACGAGAGCTTTCTTTATACAAAAACACCTTTATTATCTCACTAACATGACGTAGGAAGAAATGATATTATATCATAGGGTCACATAGGCTATCTTTCCCCCGTATTGCTTAGTATTGTCTTCAATAAAGGGAGAATATTTCAATTTAATAATCGGCCCTTAAATGATTTGCTTCTTATTCCTATTTCATACGTGATGTACATGGCAAGTTAGACACAAAAAAGGCCTTTTTGACACAGCAGACAATTTTCTCACGTATTTCAAACGTGTAAACAGTAGTGAGGAGGTTTTTATTGAAGATCTTATGCAGTAAATAGGATTTAGTAGGGTTTCGATCGTTTCAAAGACTCAAACTTATTCACGGGCGAAGTAACTCCTATTGAAGCATTAATAGTGAGTGCCTTATGGCAGGCTAAGTAAAGCGGAATTGTTTGTTGCAACATAAAAAAATAATCTTAAAGATGTCTTTAAATATTTGCCTCTTATTCCTATTTCATATGCGATGTAACTGACAAGTTAGACACAAACTAGGTTTTTTTGACATAGCAGATGATCTTCTGACGTAATTTAAACGAGTAGAGAATAATAAGGAAGTTTTTAGATGATTCTTATGTAGGAGATAGGGTTTTAGTGATCGTCTTGCGCAGTTGCTGTTTCAGTGAAATATTTTTCTCATCGCAATCATGACGAGAAACAGGAAACGAATTTAGAAAAAAACGACCAAGCTTTTTGGGATTCATAATGTACCACCTTACAGGGAATATTTCTTCCATCAATCATCATCCAAAAATAATGACATTATATCTAAACAAACTGCTTATTCTGTCTCTCAAAAACTGACAAAAGAGAGTTTCCTTATTATATCGTCAAACAAAGATGTAGCCGATGTCTTTGTGTTTGCCAAGGGAATTAGCTTTTGGTGCTAATATGAATTTAAACTTATTCTACTGGAAAAAAAAATAACTGCAAGGAAAACGAAACAAATACAGAATTATGTCGACGACAAATTTCACTTGGGGTGGAACACAGGCAAAAACAATTCTAGAACTGCTATGCTCTCCCTCTTTGGTAGGTGGGCTTCAGCAAGAATCAATTCCTTTCTCAGTAGTCCACATTCTCCTATCCGTCACAGCGTTTCTTAGCAATTCTCTTATCCTTGTTGCCCTTCACAAGTAATATTCCCTTCACCCCCCCTTCCTAACTCTAGTATCGATGTTTGGCATCAACTGATCTGTTGATTGCTTTCTTGATGCAAAAACATTTTTATTATCTTACTAACCAGACTATGGAAGAGAGAAAATTAGAACATGGGATGACATAGGCTAACTTTTCCTCGTTATTGTTTACTATTGTCTTCAATACTGGGAGAATATTTCGATTTAGTAATGGACGCTTCAACGAAATTACCTTTCAGTGTAAATTGCTACTTAAACTGAAATTCACTGATTGAGATTAAAAACTTGTCGCAGCCCACCCAAACTCTTTAGTAGTCATATCAGCCGCAGTCGCTATTCGAAGAAATTGAAGATTCCCTGGATAAAACCCCTACTCTGAATTAAAGAATTGGACGAGTTGTCGGTTTGTCTATCAACAATTTTCCCGTCCAAAAATAACAAAAATGGATCAAAAGTTAATATATAAATATACATATAAACCCATTTTCGAAAATAGTGATATTTGAAAAAATATTTGAAATAGTCTGTGTATATATGTATTTTCTTTTCTGATCACAAAGTGTCTCTTTTTGATGAGAAAAGAAAAGATATATTTATTTGATATATTTTCAAATTTGAGACGTTTTCAAAAACAGGTATTTACATATATGTATAAAACCGAAAGAAACGCAATCGTTTAAACGAGGCTTAATACAAGTCCGAATCTGTCGTCGCAAGCAGGTGTCTCTTTAACACCTTATTCGTTCTTCACTGTGCGATATAAAGCACGTGACACGTGAGAGTTTGAAATAAGTGTCAGAGTTAGTAAAGGCTAAGTTTCTCCTAGAACGATCGTAACTTTTTGAACAACTGTTGATAAACTTTGACAACACATCTCTTCGTTTTCCATCTCGATCAATAAATTATCCTGTTTACTTTATTATTGGAAACTAATTGTCGTCACCAAAGGAGAGTCGTTAATTGCTCAAGATAATCGCATGAACAAAAATTGAATAACTTTCCTTTTACAGTTGCAGAGAATTGTTTGCTGGCGTGATAACTTGATCTTGTTGCTCTTTTGGTTTTAGTTCTAGTCGGATACGAAACGTAGAGAAAAAAACTACAAAGCGCTATTAGATACACAGTTAGTTTCAAATATTTTGAAATAAGTTTGTAGGTGTGGCCGAACATTAATTCTAAATAGTTGTGTAGTCTACGTACTACATTCGGTGATTGTCACGAATTCAATTTTTCTCCTAGTACAATTGACATGGCCAGAAGGGGATTTTGAATTTTTAGCTTTCCGTAGCTGATAATGATTCAAGTCTCAACTTCACAGGAAAGAGATGGACCCTTGATTAGTATCCTATTATAATGGAATTTGATTCTGATAAAGAGCGACTCTTTGTCGCACTGTAAAAACACTGAAATAACAGATGTTTCTATATTTGCCTTTAATTGCTATTTCTTATTTGAAGCACCCTAAGGTTCTCAGGAAAAATAATTTTTTTGACCCGACAGAATATTTCCTGATGCATTTTAAATGAGTAGGTTCTTATGCGATTGTTAGTTAGGAGGTAAGACTTCAGTGATCCTTGCTGCCATTTTTCGTTGCAAGAAAAGAAATCTACAAGAAAGGGAAACGCCGAGGACAGAATTATGTCGACAACAAGTTTCAGTGGTGGTAAAAGTCACACGAAATCATTTCAAGAACTGTTATGCTCTCCCTCTTTGGTAGGTGGGCTTCAACAACAACTATCAATTTGCTTCGTGGCGGTTGACATTCTCCTCTCCATTACAGCATTTGTTGGGAATTCTCTCATCCTTGTTTCCCTTTACAAAGAATCTTCCCTACATCCGCCGTCCAAACTCCTGTATCGTTGTCTGGCAACCACTGATCTGTTGGTTGGTCTTGTTGCCCACCCTCTCTATGCTCTATATTGGATGTCCGTGGTTCAGGAACACTGGAGCCTTTGTCGATACGCAAGAGACGCAGCCTACATCACAGCCTATGTATTGTTTTTAGTGTCTTTGATGACGATGACGGCTATAAGCGTGGACAGACTTCTCGCCTTGTTGTTGGGACTGAGATACAAACAAATTGTAACTTGGAAGCCTACGTATATTATTGTAACTACCTTTTGGGTTTTTACTCTAGTCGCGTCTTTATGTGGAATTTTTTATCACCGTATAATCTTTTTGTACAGTTACTTAGTTACATCATTTTGCCTGGTAATATCGTTTGCATCGTACAAAAAGATCTTTTGCACTCTCAGATATCACCAAGCACAAATACGAGATCAACAACAGACGAGCCAGACAAATGCACTGAACATGGCGCGATTCAAAAAGGCATTATACAGTGCACTGTGGGTGCAGTTAGCATTAGTTCTTTGTTTTGCACCAATATATACAGTGGAAATTGTGATCGCTCATACTAAAAAATATTCATTACTCTTAGTCGCCACACGGAAAGTAGCCGTTATTTTACTTTACTTTAACTCGACGTTAAACCCGTTTCTTTATTGCTGGAAGATTATTGAAGTGAGACAAGCAGTGAAGCGGACACTGAAAGAAGCTCTTTGCTGAAATTTCTTTCTGTCTTTCTTGAGTTGTTCTTCAGACTTTCAAAGCAGACTAATTAAGTCACGATTATTATTAGAGAGCAGTATTTAGATAAGTTGTTGGAGAAGAAGAAATAAGTGCCTCAATGGAATAGTTACAGCGGCTATTGTCGATAGTCTATATTTCTCCGCTAACAATTTAACAACAGACTAGGTAACCCTATAAATAAGGTTTTCTTGCCGCTGTGCTAAAATACAAGATGTCACAATCGAAGAAAAGATATGCAAATAATTTACTATCATGTTTTCTCCTCCTAGAAATATAAAGGCTTCAGATGAAACTTCAAAGAGTAGTTTAAGAGATGTGTTTGAGGCCGATGTTGAGTGTTACCAGAAAACTATACAACTAGTTTCCCTATAATTAAAAGAAAGCGCTTGGCGTTGATGTTGACGCCATATTGCCAAAAGAAACAGACCATTTTAAGTCTTGAATTTGTTTGTTTTGTGATCAGAAAATTATCCGTAAAGCTTATGTGAGGAAGTTTTTGTCATATATTTTACTAGAGGTTACGAAATTATGTGAAATAAAATTGACCATCTCTGTTTTTTAAAAAATTTTCTTTCAGATCGATCGGTGTTCTGAAATTTTATTGGCAACGGCGAAATTCGCGTTTCGCATCATGTTTTAAAGAGGTCACCGTATATCAAGTTTGCTGTTGGTGAATCTTTAGGTTGTCTCTGAGTCTAATGGATTTTATTTCTTCCATTCCCGAGCGATTAACTGCTGTCCCTAAGTTCCACAAATGTTTACGCTGCCGTGCATGGTGCAGTTGGAACAGGACCTAAAAAGTCAATGCCGACAGAAAATTGGGCAGTTCTTCGGGAGTGCGTAAATAAAGATTTTGTTAATAGCGGCTCAATAGGACTTATACAGGGCAAGCACGCGCGCCATTTTATAAAGGGTATTTTTAACAATTATTTCGTGCGTCTGTGTGCGGTCATAAATATACGATGCCCGCAGGAAGTTTGGAGAGCTTGAAAGATACGCTAGAGTTACTTAACACGCGACCAATAATAATTGTAGGTTCATAAATAATAAATGCTGTTAATGTAGGTTTTAACAAGGTGTAGTTTTCAACTCGACTTCGTGTCGGGAATTATTCAACAATATTCACTTCATTTTCGGCGAATAATTGTAACTACGTATTTTTATCGAGTGTTGATAGATTTTAAGTATCCATTCCTTCATTTTCCTTCTCCATCAATTTATTATCATGGTCACTTAGGCATAGTCATATAACTCCGGTTATCTGAGGAGAATTGCTAATCGCTCGAGGGAATTACAACATGAAGAATTCAGTCACTGCTGTATACAAGAAAGCTTGCTAGATACCAAAATATTTCCCTTCTCTTTCTGCGGAAAAGACGCTGGCAGAGAAAAATTTAGGCGAGCTTTGGCTTATAATTTTCCTCGGACAATCACTTAAAAGTTTTTGGCGAAAGGAGGAGAACAAATAGAGAATGTAAAAGAAACAGCAGAAAATTGTTTGAACACGTAACTTCTTGCTTTTCTTTTGTTTCGTTCCTCATTTTTTCGGAGACGAAACGGAGAAAAAGATGTCTTTAAATATTTTAGAGCCTCTCATTCCTATTTCATACGTGATGTAAATGACAAATTAGGTACAAAAAAAAAGGCTTTTTTGACACAGCAGACAATTTTCTGACGAATTGCAAACCTGTAACTGAACAATAAATAAATCCCGCTTGAGTTTCAATGGCCGTATTGCTCTTCAAAGTTACGTTTATCATTAGATACTCAATTTCATCAGCGCACAAACTGTAGTTGATATGGTCTACTTCCATACAAAAGACAACAAACGATAACCATAAACATCCCAAGCACATCATTGCTCACGTGAAGGTACTTATCTTCGATACATAAAAAGATGAATAAGGAGAAAAGCCTCTTACATGCACGGTCCAGAAACAATTGGTTACGTGATATCAATCCTCAACGAACGTTAACCGAGTAAAGAGGGTTTTCTCTGTCATACCATTTAAAGTTGACGGTAACAGATGTGTTCAGGCTTGCCTCTCAATTCTTATTGATACCTGAGGCATATGGAAAATTTCTTGGAACAAATTTACCTTTTTCGACACTACACACGGTGTACTTGTGCATTTTAAATCACAAAGCTGTTTAGATATACTCATCATAGATCAACATGGCTCCTTTGGCGCATGAAAAAACTCATGGAATCTACACGTTAACAGTATCGTGAGAATTTAAGAATAGTACGTTTCACGCAATGGCCAAAAAAGAAAAAAAAAAGATATGACCGTATGGAATAAAAACAAACATTGGGTTCTAGGTAACATTTTAATGTTTTTTTTTTACCACTGCAGTGATATATAAGACAAAACTATTACCACTAGTGAAAGAGGGTTGTTGGATTTTTTGACATTCTTTGTTTTTGAAGGTGAAATGATTTCAAAATTTATTATCTTAATTGGGGAAGGCGTTTGACTTGACGCCACACTGCCATAAGGCCAGCGGTATAGGGACTAGTATTTGATTTGTCTTTGCAAAGATTTCCACAATGCTTATGAATATGAAGATGCATTATTATAAATAGTTGAAAACGACGAAAACGTTGAATTATCTAGACAGTTTTCCTTTACATCGATCATTGGTTTTTGCTTTTTGTTTAACTAAACTGAAAGTAACACTTATCTACCAGTTTAGCTCTCATTGAGTTTAGCTCCATCATAAATTGAAGTTTCATTTTGTTTTCGGTGTAAAACAATGATAAAATATAACAAACATCAGTAAATCTGACTCTTAATGCTAATTTGTGCTTTTATTAAACGTTATCATTTAAACAAGCATGTACTTCTCTCTCACATTGTTATTTAGCAGCAGACTCCAGCCTTTTACCTGTGACATACAAGGGCAAACACTAAGAATAAAATAACATTCAATTGCTGATCAAAGAGGACTTTGTTTTTTCTCCGTTTGTTTGATGTAAAAACTGTAAGGCACAACCATAAACTCTAGGCAAATAAAAGGCAAATATTTCTTACTTAACGGACTTTTCGAGCGCGCATTTTTAACTAGTTAAGGCTGACTAGTTGGTGTTTTAGCAAATACAGTACACCAATTTGAAGTCAAATAAATTATCGAATGGCTCTTCATTATCCAATTGTTAGCTTCCGGTTATGATTAATAAATTGTTTTGCTTCAGCATTGGAATATAATACAGTCTGCCTTATCAAACGAGGATCGTTAATAGCGTTAGCATATTGCATCCAGAAGAACGAATTTGCCTGGCGTACACAATACAGCTGGCTTGATACGAAAAAAATTCCTTATCTTACCAAAAGCAATGGCTTAAATCGCGGCTTCTGTGGATAAACTTTATTTCCAAGTGCACGCACAGCTAAAGGACAGAGAGTTGTATCACTAACTGCAATACTTGGGACATGTAAGTTCCATGCATGTTATTTTGAATACAACAACTTAATTATGATTTGATCGACAAAAAACAAAAACAAAAAAACAAAAACAAAAAAAATGCCGTGCACGCATGGTAAGGCAAAAAACGGGACGCTAGTTTGATTTTACTCTCTTGTTTTACTTTCTTAGTGATATGAAAGTACATGTATAGGATAAAATTGATACTGAAAGAGTAGTGAAGGAGAGACTTTCCAGTTCTTTACTAACGAATGGTGAAATAATTTCAATTTTTTAACCTCACTGCATGAATAAAGCGCTTGACTTTGACTCAAAATTGCCGTGCGAACCGTTCAAAGTAAGGCCTATTAAAGACATTGAATTATAATTTTGTTCAAGAAAGTTCAGAATGCTTATCAATGTGTGAAGATGCTTCTATGAATTGTAAATAGTAAGTAAGCGAATGAGAAAGACTAACATTACAGGCTCTTACTGAGAGAATCCTCTTAAAGATTGTCCTTTTTTGCTTAAAATTTATAATTAATTACCAATGATGACCAAATAATCAAAAAATTACAATGTCCTGAGAGAGTTCTCTTAAAGATTGTCGTTTGTTTCTTAAAATTTATTATTGATTACCAATTAGTCATACAAATTACAATTTACGAAAAAAATGCAAAAGTTTACATTTGAAGACTTACAACTTTGAATGTGATTGGTTGATTTAAACTGCAACTTTGAAAGTGATTGGTTGATTTAAACTACAACTTTGAATGCGATTGGCTTATTGAACTGTCCGATAAGAACTTGGCAAGTGAATTCGTGGAAATTAGGAGTTTTTTAAATCAATCACAATTCAGGGAATTGTAATTTTTATCATTACATTTGGTTAAAAATGTCTGAGTGATAACGGAATGATGGAGGTGGTGGTCACAAAACCAACTATGGCCTCGACTTTGTAATATGATGGTGAGTAATGTGGAAAAAAAGATACGTGAATGTTTTTGTTTTTTAACGGTCAGTTATACTTTGTGGAGATCCACGCTTAAAATGAATTCGAGTATTGTTGGTTCTCATATATATTTTTTAATTAATAGTTAACTCAATGGGTTATATTGATATGAAACTAACTGATTAGTTTGAAGGAAATTTACTGTAAATTCTGAAAAGTCTTGCAGCAGAATAAATGGAATGTTACATCAAAAATTTAAGGGCTGGTTATTTACACGAGATCTAACCCAAACCGCGCTTTTACGTAAGCAGTGAACCTTAGGTGTTCTCTATGAGAGGGTTGATTTAATAAAACAAATGTCTTTCCTTTATTACCTTTTGGCCCTCTTGATATACTTTCACAAAAATATATGTTTGGATAAAAGTTTAAGCTAAATTGAAGATGGCTTAGAGCGCAGTTTTGTCAAACAAAGACTAAACTTTGTTTAAAGAACTGGCCCTAAGTGTCAAAAGATAAAAGCCCAGTGAAATATCAGCTTTCAAAATATTGTAGTCTTAAATAATTCACAAGTTTTTCCGAGGCTAGTAAAAATTTCAAACTCTTCATTCCTGAAGAAATCTCTTCGATATTGACCAGCCATTTTTCTGTTTGAAGGCAAAATATTTCGTAGAAGTGGAGAGGACTTATATTTATAGCATTTATTTGAAGATATAGTCGAAATGGTGCTGATGGACTCATTAACTTGTAAGAAGCTTATTGATAACATTGTTTGAATCAGTGATAACCCGGAAAGGATTAAAGGCTAAGTTTTTGGTGCAAATGAAGAGATTATCTAGAACACAGGCGATGAAAAAGGACTGTTAGATCAACATCAGTATCTGGGCAACTGCCCACCTACCCCTCCCCTAACTGAACAACAGTCAATTTAAGGTTAATGTTGGGTTAGGGGAGGGGTAGGTGGGCAGTTGCCCAGATACTGATATTGATTCGGATTGTTATTATTTTGAGGGTGTTTATCAGCACCCAACACTAGATTATCGTAACCATTTCACAAAGAAAGCTGCAGAAACAGCAAAGGAGAATTATACAGGCATCTCCTGATGGCGATCGAACTGAGGAAATGTCAGCAAACTAGAACTAAATATTGACGCGAGATTTCGTTTTTCATCAAAACTCTGACATGGGAAATGTAAAATCAAGGATTTTTAACCAAATAACAATTTGCGTTGCATGGCATTGATTAAACGTTTTACTTTACTAACACCAAACCTGATTATCACTGTTTCTCGTAAAGTTCTCTTTTAAGGACCAATCGTTTGTGAAAGACAAATTTTGAAAAATGATAAGTAGAAAATCAGACCTACTCATCAAAAGTAAGGCTTTAAAAAAAATGGTGAACCATATTTTTTGGACAGAAATGACAATATTCCCGAGCATTTCAAACGTGTAAACAAGACTGAAAAGTTTTCATATGATGATTCATATGATTATTAAGTTTCAGTGATCAAAGCAGTTTAAGTGATGTCAAGGCTGGGCAGGTGCTCTCTAGACGGAACATTTTATGTTGCAATCACACGTAAATTAACTGATTGAGATTAAAAACTTGTCGCAGCCCACCCGATCCAGCGCTGTTGCCGCAAGAGTAAATTTTGGTGAGAATGTTTGAAAACAAAGGAATAAGGTTCGGGTGGTTTCACCTGCGAAAAGAATGACAGCTTGTGTAACAAACTAATTTTATTTTATCTCAAGCATTGCCAGTTTGTCATGGGAAGAAAAAATATTAAGATTGGTATTGTTGTCATGAGCTCTTGAACTCAGTGAACGACAGTGATGTCGAGAAACTAAATGATTTTTGCCCCTGCTTTTACGTTAGAAGTCCACAGTCGGCATTCAAGTTGTCTCCAACTGATTGACGTTTCGCCTTCCCATTCAAGTTTGGTTTCCAGAAACTGATCATAATTTAAACAACACCTACTCATTTATGCAGCTATCAACGTCACTTCTCCCTAGTAAGGCTGGTTTTTGCCTTAAACTGCAGGATGAAAAAAAAAGCACAATATTTCATTTTTAATTTACTTCTTAGCGCTAAGTCATTCAAAGATTGAACTTAACAAGCTGAATATACATGTGGTGTAGTTGTGACGCACAACACTGTTAGGCGACAAACATCCTGCCTCTTCTATTTAACAAAGATAATTTGAAGGGAAAGTTGCAGTAAAAAAAAACTATTGCATCTTTGGAGTATACTTCTAGAGTTTATCGATTGAATAACATGACAGAATTACTCGTTACAACGAAATTTACAAAGAGTTATATTTAATGTGACTTCTGTGAAGAAATTGGCAACTCTAACTTGTTCGCCTGAGTGACGAAGGATTTTCCATCGCGCTATAAGATATCGACATTCGGGGATCATTAAGTGATCAACGCTGCGCAGGTGCTCTCAGTGCGGCAGCAAATTCAACGGGAGATGGAACGCAGATGAATACATTTGAAGAACTTGTATGTTCCTCTTCTTTGGCTGGTGAATTTGAACAATACGCACTGCGTCTGTCAGCAGTCATCATTTTTTTCTCCCTTACAGCATTTCTTGGGAATTCTCTGATCTTAGTTGCACTTCACAAGGTGTCTTTCCTTCATCCGCCGTCCAAACTCCTGTACCGTTCTCTGGCAACAAGTGATCTGTTGGTTGGTCTCGTAAGCCAGCCTCTCGCTGCCACTCTTTGGATGTCAGTTGTTTTCGAAGAGTGGAGACTTTGTCGATTCGCATGGGTAGCAGCCTTCATTTCAGGGTATGGATTATCTCTTATGTCTTTGTTGACAATGGCAGCCATGAGCGTGGACAGACTTCTCGCCCTGTTGTTGGGGCTGAGATACAAACAAATTGTAACTTTGAAGCGCACATATATCATTGTCGTTACTCTTTGGGTTGTAACCTTTGTCGCTACTCTATGCAACGTGTTAGATTCTCGTATAGCGCCTTGGTTTGGTCGAATTGTCATCTCATGTTGCCTATTAATCTCGATTGCTTCATATGCTAAGATTTTCTGTGCTCTTCGCCGTCATCACGCTCAGGTACAAAGTCATGTTCAACAACAGCCGAGCCAACCAAATGCATTGAACATGGCGCGATACAAAAAGGCAGTGTACAGTGCACTGTGGGTGCAGTTAGTGTTACTTGCTTGTTATGTACCAATGAGTGTAGTGGGAATTTTGATGGCTCATATAAAAGGAGATTCATCACATTTAGTCGTCGCTCTTGGAATAGTGAATACCCTGGTTTATTTTAACTCGACTTTAAATCCGTTTCTTTACTGCTGGAAGATTAGTGAAGTAAGAAGAGCAGTTAAGCGGACAATCAGACAAGCGCTTTGCTGTCCACGGGGTTAGTTCTTCCATTATACTCTTACCTAGTTGTTTCAAGCAAGTATGTAACGTGACGACGCTATTAGATAACGCATCCTGTCGGGTATATCATTGAATAGGAAGAAGTAAGAAGCTTAATGAAGTCGCTGCACAAAGCTGATTAGATATTCTCATCATGGATGAACATGGCTCATTTTGTGCATGAAAAAGCAAAAATCATGGAATATACACGTTAACGATATCGTAGGAATTTAAGAATGGTATTTATCTTAACTGAGGGAGGCGTTTGACTACAGCTGGCTTGATACGAAAAAAATTCCTTATCTTATTAACAACCAGTGGCTTCAATCGCGGCTTCTGTGGATAAAGTTTATTTCCAAGTGCACGTATAGCTAAAGGCCAGAGAGTCGTATCACTAACGGCAATACTTGGGACAAGTAAGTTTTATGCGACGGCAGTTATTTTGAATACAACAAATTATGATTTGATCGACATAAAAAATGCCGTCCACGCAAGGTAGGGCAAAAAACGGGAAGCTAGTTTGATTTTACTTACTCGTTTTACAATCTTAGTGGTACGAAAGTACATGTATAGGATAAAATTGATTGTGAAAGGGTAGTGAAGGAGTGACTTTTAAGTTCTTATCTAACGGATGGTGAAATAATTTCAAATTTTTAACCTCACTACATGAAATAAAGCGTTTGACTTTGACTCAATATTACCGCGTGAACCGTTCAAAGTAAGGCTTGTTAAAGACACGAAATCGTAATTTTGAGCGAAAAAGTCCATAATGCTTATCAATGTGTGATGATACTTCTATAAACTGTAAATAGCTAGTAAGTAAGCGAATGAGAAACAGTTTAACATTACAGGCTCTTACTAAGAATTCTTAAATATTTTGTTGCTTAAAATTTATCATCAAATTACTAATGAGGACCAATTAATGGTAAAATTACAATGTCCTAAGATAATTCTCTTAACGATTGTCGTTTGTTTCTGAAAATTTATTATTAATCATCAATTAATCGTAATCATGTTTTGATTACTAGTGTACTCAATGGGTTATATTGATATGAAACTCACTGATAAGTTAGAAGGAAACTTACTATCAATACTGAAAAGTGTTGTAGCAAAATAAATGGTATGCTTCATAAAAAATGTAGGGGCCGGTTATTTACACAATGTCTAATCTAAACCATGGTTTTTATGCAAGCAGTGAAAAGTAGGTGTTCTCTATAAGAGGGTAGATAAAACATAATAAATGTCCTTCCTTTATTAGATCTCGACCCTCTAGATACTATTCGCAAAAATTTATACCAAGATAAGAGGTTCAACTAAATTGAAGATGGCTTAGAACGCAGTTTTGTAAAACAACGACTAAACTTTGTCTAAAGAACTTTCGTGAGGCTAGTAAACATTTCAGACACTTTATTCTTGAAGAAATCCCTTCAATATTGAACAGCTAATATTTTGTTTGATGGCAAAATATTTCGCAAAAGTAGAGAAGACTTATATTTATAGCATTTTTTTGGTAGATAGATGGTCAAAATGGTGCCAATGGACTCACCAACTTGTAAGAAGCTCATTGATAACATTGTTTGAATCAATGAAAACCCGGAAAGATTTTTCGTGCAAATGAAGACATCATCTAGAACACAGGTGATGAGAAAGGATTGTTTTTATTTTGAGGGTGTTTATCATTACCCAACACCAGATTATCATAACCATTTCACAAAGAAAGCTGCAGAAATAGCAAAGGAGAACTATACAAGCATCTCCTGATGACGATCGAACTAAGAAACATCTCACCAAGGTAGAACTAAATATTGACTCGAGATTTCGTTTTTATCAAAAATCCTGACATGGGAAATATGAAATCAAGGATTTCTAACCAAACAACAATTTGTGGTGAATGGCATTGATTAAACGTTTTACTTTACTAACATCAAACCTGATTATTGCTGTTTCTCGTAAAGTTCTCTTTTAAGGATCAATCGTTTGTAAAAAACAAAACTTTACAAAATGATCAGAAGAAAATCAGACCTACTCATCAAAAGAAGGGCTTTAAAAAAAATGGCTCACCATTTTTTTTTTGAAAAAATGACAATATTCCCGAGCATTTCAAACGTGTAAACGCGATTGAAAAAAGTTTTTCATATGATGATTCATTCATTCATATGATTATTCATAATAATTATTCATATGATTATTAAGTTTCAGTGATCAAAGCAGTTTAAGTGATTTCAAGGCTGGCAGGTGCTCTCTAGACGCAACATTTTATGCTGCAATCACACGTAATCTGAAGGAAAGAACAAAACGACAGCAGAATGATGGCGGAAACAAATCTAACCAAAGATGGAGCACAGACGAACGCATTTGAAGATTTTCGGTGCTCCCCTTTTTTGGCAGGTGGATTACAACCACAATCAATCCATTTCTCAGCTTCAGTTTACATTATCCTCTCCATTACAATATTTCTTGGGAATTCTCTTATCCTTGTTGCCCTTCACAAGGAATCTTCCCTTCACCCGCCGTCCAAACTCTTGTATCGTTGTCTGGCAACGACTGACCTGTTAGTTGGTATTTTTAGCCAGTCTATGATGGCTACTTATTTCATGTCCTTGGCTAACGATAACTGGAGTCTTTGTCGATACGCAAGCGACGCCACCTTCACAACAAAGCTACACATTTGCGGAGTGTCTTTATTTATAATAATGTTGCAAGATGTTGCGTTGAAATATTGCGTGCGTGTGGCCGGGCCTTAAGAAATAAGGGTTTGAGTGATCGTGACCGGCCAGGTGCCGTTGATAGGAAATACCTGTCGTTTCAAATACAGGTAACTAGCGGGGAAAAGAAAACGACCGTATATTGAACTGCATGGCGACAACTAATTATATAGGAGGTGTAACACAAAGGAACACCAGGTTTGGAAAGTGGCTTTTCAACCTTTCTGGCTGATGAGTTGCCGGCATCAATCAGCCATTTCCTTCTCTGCGGTGTACTTTCTCCTCCCATCACAGCATCTCCTAGCAATTCTCATGTCCTTGTTATAAACAGTTTTCAACTTGAATTTGTTTTGTCATTAGAAAAATATTCACATTGCCTATGAATGTTTGAAAATGTCATTGATAATAACAAACATTGTGTAAGGGGGTGTATGGATTTAAATAAACACTTTCCTTTTCTTAATTAATTCTTTCCAAAACTTCCAATTTTCCGAGATTAAACGTAAGACTCCATCTTCTCCACTCAGCTAAAGGTGAATTTCTACCCGAGAAGACGACGTTTAAAATAATTGTGAAATACTGCTAGTATCAAAGATGTCTGTCTGTACGTTTGACTCTTAAAGCTCATTTGTTCTTATTTTGGTCACGTTTCCTAATGATCTTTCATCGATAGAGAGCTAGTCAAGTGTCCATATCATCTGTATAAAATTTTGCATCAAACCATTAAAATGTAAATGAATTCTAATATTAAAAAGAAGCTTAAATCTGAGGGGTTCCGGAAAAAAGCAATCAACTCTTTGGCACAACAGACAATTTGTTTACGCACTTTGAACAAGCAAACGCTGATGAGGAAGTCTCTATGTGTTTATTGAAGGAAGGTTCAGTCATCGTTGCACAGCTTGGGGTGTTTAAACGAAATATTTCTCATTGCCAGTTGCCTCAGTACAAGAAAAAGGAAACGATTACAGAACAATGTCGACAACAAAGTTCACTAGGAGTGGAACACAGACGAAAACATTTGTAGAACTGTTATGCACCCCATCTTTTGGAGGTGGATTACATGAAATATTTACTTTTTTCTCAGCAGTGCACATTCTCCTCTCCATCACAGCATTCCTTACAAATTCTCTCATTCTTGTTGCCCTTCACAAGGAATCTTCCCTCCACCGACCGTCCAAACTCTTGTACCGTTCTCTGGCAACAACTGACCTGTTGGTTGGTCTTGTTGCCCAGCCTCTCTATGCTACTTATTGGATGTCCTTAGTTCAGGAACACTGGAGCCTTTGTCGATACGCATTTGACGCAGCCTATATCACGGGCTCTGCATTGTTTTTAACGTCTTTGATGACGATGACGGCCATAAGCGTAGACAGACTTCTCGCCCTGTTGTTGGGGCTGAGGTACAAACAAATCGTAACTTTGAAGCGCACATATATCATTGTAGCTACCATCTGGATTTTATCTCTTGTCACTTCTTTATGCGCTTTACTTGATGATCGTATAACTTTTTGTACCGTCTCATAACTATACCTCTTTGCTTGGTTATTTCACTCGCATCATACACAAATATTTTTCGCACTCTCAGATATCATCAGGTTCAGGCAGAAGATCCCGTTCAACAACAGCCGAGCCAACTAAATGTACTGAACATAGCTCAATACAGAAAAAAGCAGTGTATAGTGCACTGTGGGTGCAGTTAGCATTAGTTGTTTGTTTTGCACCATTCTTTATCGTGGTAACCGTGATTGCACACAGTAAAACACATTCATCGCATTTGGTCATCCTAAGGGGAATAACCGTTGTCTTGGTTTACTTTAACTCGACGTTAAACCCGTTTCTTTACTGCTGGAAGATAAGTGAAGTAAGACAAGCAGTAAAGCAGACAATCAGACAAGCACTTTGCTGTCCAAGGAGTTAGACCATCTTGAGTTTTACCCGATCGTACCAGTACTTTCAGTTCAAAACTGACAAGGAACGCTCGTCAATCAGCTACACCATGATATATATCTTTGCTCGAGATCTCTCGATTGTATTTTTCGCACCTTAACAACTAAAGGGAAGGCAACCGAAAAACTAACCATAAATTTATAAAAATAGTTTTAGTGCTACCTCACATTATCATGATTAGATCAATTCATAATCTAAGAAAAGATATGCGCGCGCAGGATCATACTCACGGTTGTTATTATAAGAAAGTGTAAGGAACAAAATTGAAGCAAGAACGGTTAGTACAAAGTTCTCTTTCAGGTTCACCGTTTTGCTGAAATTATATGCTAAAGGGAAAAAGGAATATTGAATGAAAAAAAAAAAGAAAACATAGACTTTTAAAATATCAGATAGAAAGGGTCGCTTTATTTCCAGTTTGAACAGCGAGAATATTTCCAATTTATTATCGGGCCTAGAAATAGCAGTATATCTAAATATACTGCTTATTACTTAACTTAAAAAAAAAGTCGCAGTCGAGTTCCTTTATTGTTTTGAAAACAGTAATATAGCTGATGTCTTCATTTTTGCCAAGGGATATGACTTTAGTTTTAATTTGTACTTGAAGTAAATTTTACTGATTGAAGTAAACAGCTAATAGCGGCCAATTTAAACACAGCGGTCAAACACTGCGCATGCACGTGTTTTGAAACGCATGTATTATGTGAAGTGAAGAAGGAAAGGTTAAATTCCTAACTATTCCAAATTGAATGCGTGACACAGTTGAATGAGGGATTTCGGAGAAAGCTTAAATCTTGGTCTTATTTTATAGTGAGATATCTCAACTTATTTTTAACGCAGACACCTTGTTCCGGCGATGAAGGCAAATTACAGAACCTTTCTTCTACCTTTGTCGGCACGGCAAAGCTTAAGACTTCATCACGCCGCCAAGCAAAGTGTAAAAAAAATTACGAGAGTGCAAACTAGATCAACAATGTGTATAATTCTAGGCCTTAGAAAATTTGAGCTTTCCTAAGAAACAGCAAAAAACTACGCATTATTTAGATTCTCAATGTTGACCATAGCAAATTATCCATCTAGAAGCGCATGCGTAATCATTTGACCGCTGTGTTGCCCATCTATTACTGTTTAGTAGTCAAGTTTTAGTCGCTATTCGGAATAATTAAAGAAGAGAAAAGTGGGAAGGAGAATTGCCAGGGAAAGAACTTTACACAAGAATCAAATAAGTTGTTGAATTTTTTTTAACAATGAAGGCACTCGTGTGGTTTGCTTCTCAGCTATTTCCCCATCGGTGAATAAAATAACGGATCAAAAGTTAAAATGAATAACGTAGAGTCGAAAGAAAAGTAAATATGTTACGAAATGAATAATTTAGTATTTTCATAACAGAGGCACCCAAAGGTTCTCGGGAAAATTGTTTTTTTTACCCAACAGAAATTTTTTTTATGCGACTGTCAGCTAGGACGCAAGGGAAACGCCGAAGACAGAATTATGCCCCCAACAAATTTAAGTAGCGGTGGAAGTCGCACGAAATCATTTCATGAACTGCTATGCTCTCCCTCTTTGGTGGGTGGGCTTCAACAACAACTATCAATTTGCTTCGTAGCGGTTGACATTCTCCTCTCCATTACAGCATTTTTTGGAAATTCTCTCATCCTTGCTTCCCTTTGCAAAGAATCTTCCCTACATCCGCCGTCCAAACTCCTGTATCGTTGTCTGGCAACCACTGATCTGTTGGTTGGTCTTATTACCCAGCCTCACATGGCTCTACATTGGATGTCCGCGTCTCAAGAACACTGGAGCCTTTGTCGATACGCAAGGGACGCAGTCGACATCACAGGCTATGTATTTATTTTAGTGTCTTTGATGACGATGACAGCCATAAGCGTGGACAGACTTCTCGCCCTGTTGTTGGGACTGAGATACAAACAAATTGTAACTTTGAAGCGCATGTATATTATTGTAACTACCTTTTGGGTTTTTAACCTTGTGGCCTCTTAAAGTGGATTTTTTGATCACCGTGTAACCTATTTGTACAGCAGCCTAGTTATATCATTTTGCCTGGTAATATCACTCGCATCGTACACAAAGATTTTTTGCACTCTCAGATATCATCAAGCACAAGTGGGAGATCAACAACAGCCGAGCCAGACAAATGCACTGAACATGGCGCGATTTAGAAAGGCAGTATACAGTGCACTGTGGGTACAGTTAGCATTAGTAGTTTGTTATGCACCAATATGTACAGTGTCAATTGTGATCGCTTATGCTAAAAAATATTCATTACTCTTAGTCGTCACACGGAAAGTAGCATTTATTTTACTTTTCTTTAACTCGACGTTAAACCCGTTTCTTTATTGCTGGAAGATAAGTGAAGTGAGACAAGCAGTGAAGCAGACAATTAAAGAAGCACTTTGCTGAGTTAGGTTTTCCTCGAGTTCTTCAGACTTTTAAAGCAGAATCCTTAAGTCACGATTATTATTTGAGAGAAGTCGTCAGATAAGTTATTGGATAAAAATAAATAAGTGGCTCAATAGAATAGTTGCGCAGGCTGTTATAAAAAGCTGCGAGGATCTTCTAATGTCATGTTTTCGATAGTCTCTATATCTCTGACAACAATCTAACTACAGATTAGGTAACCCTAACTTTGTGTTTTCAAAAATAAGGTTTCTTGCCGCTATGCTAAAATACAAGATGTCATAATCGAAGAAAATATATGCAAATATTTTACTTTCATGTTTTCTCCTCTTAGCAATATGAAGGCACCAGATAAAACTTCAAAGAGTAGTTTAAGAGATATATTTAAGGCCGATGTTGTGTGTTACGGATAAAACTATTTCAACTAGTTTTCCTATAATTAAAAGAAAGCGCCTGACGTTGATGTTGACGCCATATTGCCAAAAGAGGCGGTCCAGTTTTAGTCTTGAATTTGTTTTGTCATTAGAAAAATATCCGTAGAGCTTATGTGAAGAAGTTTCTGTTGCTTGTATATTTAACTGAAGGTTACAAAAGTATATGAAATAAAATTGACCATCTCTGTTTGTTACAGAATTTTTTTTACAGATCGATCGATGTTCTGAAATTATATTGCTATCTTGCTTTGCTTTTGTTTTATTTCTAATTTTGTCGGAAACGTAACGGAGATAAAAGAACCACAAAATGTTACCAATCACACAGTTAAATTGATATATCTCAAAACAAGTTTGCATCTGTGGCCTTACATCCTCAAACTTATTAATTCGCTTTGAAGCCATGATAATATTGAGTGCCTTCTCGCAAGCTAAATAAAGCGGGATTGTTTGTTGCAACAAGAAATAATGTTACTAATCACACAGTTAAGTTTAAATATCTTAAAATAAGTTTGCATCTGTGGCCTTACATTAATTTTTAATCGTTATATGCATACAAATTGCTGGACTGTTTGTCATGAATTTGACATCCTCAAATTTATTCAGCTCGCATTGAAGCCATAATATTGAGTGCCTTCTCGCAAGCTAAATAAAGCGGGATTGTTTTTTTGCAACACGAAAAAAAAAACACGAAAATAATTTTAAAGAAGTCTTTGAATAGTTGCCTCTTATTACTATTTCATACGTGATGTACATGACAATTTAAGCACAAAAAGGCTTTTTGACACAGCAAACAATTTTCTGACTCATTTCAAACGTGTAAACAATAGTGAGTGGGTTTTTTTATTTGAGATGTTATCTGGGAAAAAAGGGTTTCAGGGATCGTTCTTGTACAATTGGCGTTAACTAAAATGAAATATTTCTCTGGTTGCTATCACACCTTAACTCATGACAAGAATATTGTCAACCTTTGAAATATTTGATATATCCAGTTTAATGCTGGTCTATGTTTTCTTCAAGTTTTATTGATCCTATGTCTACCAACCCGAGTGATTAACTGTTCCTAACTTTCGCTTCTTTTTCCTTGAACTCGTTCCATGACGCTTTTTAGGAATTCAGAATTCACCACAATACAGGGATAATCTTTGCACTTAATTACCGGCCCAAAAGAATGACAGTATATTTAAATATACCGCTTAAACAGCTTATGCTGTCATTCAAAAACTGAAAAGAGAGAGTTTCCTTATCATATCGTCAAACAGAAATATTACTGACCCATGTCTGAGTGCTTGCCAAAGGAATTAACTTTAAAAGAAGACAAATTGTAGATCAAAAATGACAAATGTAAAGTTGAATTAAAAATTGGCATCAAACGAAAAGAAATGATTATTTTGGTACCTGATGGAACCCTGGAATTAAAACGATACCGAGCGCGTGGTGCCATCATGGCTGGTGCAAAACAATGGTTTCTCCGCCTCCTTTATTTTCAGTTAACGCCTATTTTTCTTATCTTGTTGACCAAAGGGGTGAAGAAAGGAAATTACATCTTAGGAAGAAATAGGCAAAATAAGCAAAAAAGTTTTTGTTAAAAAAAAATACCATTATAACTTTCCTGACGAAAGGAAAAAAGGCTGGTAGAGAACGAATTTAAAAAAATGGTTTGGCGCGCGGCATAACATCTTGTTACAGTTTTGTTTTTAATATAAGTCCGGAGACACAAAACAAAACGGAAAGAAAAAAGCACGTCTTTACAAATCGACTCAAGCATTTAAAAATACGTTTGCATCTGTGATCAAAATTTAAATTTGAATTGTTTGATGTATTCGCAGATTGTCTCCAATCCAACTTTTCTAAGATTAAGTAAAATCGCCAGCTTGAAATTTTCATTTCCAATTCTTCATGGCTACTAATGATACAAGTCTGAACTAACACGAATGATTTGGACACCAGGTTAGCACTATATCAGTGAAAGTTGATCCAAGTAAAAGGAGATTGTTCGTCGTCCTTTTAAAAGAATAATACTACAGATGTCTCTCCATTGTCTACTTATTGCCATTTTATACCTGAGGTACTTCAAAGGTTCAATAATTGGACACAACAGACAATTTTCTGACGATTTTAAATGAGTTAACGCTGATGAGGAATTAGTCCATGTGTATGAATACTATTAACTGATGTATGAGGTGTCATTGATCGTGGCTGGTTGTGGGCTGTTTAGACGGCATATTACTCATTGCAATCTTAGATAGCCTACAACAAATTCCATAAGCATTGGAACACAGACGAAAACAATTGAAGAACTCCTATGCTCTCCCTCTTAAGCGGGGGGCATCAATCAGCATCAGTTTCATGCCTGAGGCATCCCACAGCTACAGAGTTCTGACGCATTTCAAATGATTGAAAGCTAGTGAGGAAGTCTTAATTATTTTTTAAAGGAAGGTTTCAGTTAGACGAAATATTCCTCGTTGCAAGAACAGAGGAAACGAATGCAGAATTATGTCGACAACAAATTTCACCAGAGGTGGAACACTGCCGAAAACATCTGAAGAACTGCTATGCTCCCCCTCTTTGGTGGGTGGGCTTCAACCAGCATCTTTCGCATCAGTCAACATTCTCCTCTCCATCACAACATTTCTTAGCAATTCTCTATCCTTGTTGCCCTTCACAAGGAATCTGCCCTCCATGCGCCGTCCAAACTCTTGTATCGTTGTCTGATCTTTTGGTTGGTCTTATTGCTCAGCCTCTCTATGTTACCTTTTGGATGTCCGTGGTTCACGAACACTGGACTCTTTGTTATTACGCAGAGACAGCAGCCTACATCATAGGCTCAGCATTATGTGGAGTTTCTTTGTTGACGATGGCGGCAATAAGCGTGGACAGACTTCTCCGCGCCCTGTTGGCAGGGCTGAGATACAAAGAGATTGTAACTTTGAATAGTGTTTGTATCATTATAGCTAACTTTTGGGTTTTATGTCTTGTCGCCTCTTTATGCGCCATTTTCGATCGGCGTATAATCACTTTGTGTGCCCAGATATTGATACCACTTTTGCTGCTTATTTCACTCGCCTCGTACACAAAGATATTTCGCACTCTTAGAAATCATCAGGCACAAGAACAAGATCATGTTCAACAACAGCCGAACCATCCAAGTGCACTGAACATGGCGCGATACAGAAAAGCAGTGTACAGTGCTCTGTGGGTACAGTCAGTATTAGTTGTTTGTTACACACCATACCTTATTGTGAGAATTGTTCTCACTTATAGTACAACATACTCATCACAATTAGGCGTCGTATTGGCAATGGACGTTATATTAGTTTTCTTTAACTCGACGTAAAGAAAACGTAAAGACAAGCAATGAAGCAAACAATCAGACAAGCACTTTGCTGTCCATGGAGTTAGACCATCTTACTCACAGCAGTCAAACACTGTGCATGCATGTGTTTTGGAAAGAATAGGAGGGATTTGCAAACGCGCGTATTACGTGAAGTGAAGAAGGAAAGGTTAAATTCCTATCTTTTCCAAATTGAATGCGTAATACAGTTGAAAGAGGGTTTTCGGAGAAAGCTTAAATCTTGGTCTTATTTAATGTTGAGATATATCAACTTATTTTTAACGCAGATGCCTTGTTTCGACGATGAAGGCAAATTACAGAACCTTTCTTCTACCTTTGTCAGCACGGCCAAGCTTACGACTTCATCACGCCGCCAAGCAAAGTGTAAAAAAAAAGTACGAGAGTGAAAACTAGATCAACAATGTGTATAATTCTAGGCCTTTGCTTCTCAGCTATTTCCCCATCGATGAATAAAATAATGGTTTAAGAGTTAAAATAAATAATGTAGAGTCGAAAGAAAAGTAAATATGTTACGAAACGAATAATTTAGTATTTGATGAAATTTCGTACTCAAAACGAGGCCGAGGTTGTCATGGCTGGATGATGTCTCCTCAGCTTCCTGCGTGCTTCATATCTTAATTAACCCTTTAAATCCCATGAGTGACCAAGACAGAATTTCTCCTTACAATATTAATACAAAATCAACCAGATTAGTAGTGAAAATCAAGGAAAATGTTAATTTGGGGATAACTAGTTGATCCAATACTATATTCTCTGGGCTAACATATGAGAATTGTATGACTGATGGTAAGGAGAAATACAAATTTGATCTGGGAGTTAAAGGGGTTAACACAAACTGTTTACTGGTTAAGATGCAGTCGCTGTTCGGTTGGCGCGACACAGAGAGGCTGTGTACCACTGGGGGCGCAGTTAGCGTTAGTTGTTTGTTGCGGACCAATCTATAGTAAAACATACCCGTCACACCTAGTCGTTATATGGAGAGTATCAATTGCCTTACTTTTCTTTAACTTGAAGTTATATCCGTTCTTTACTGCTAGAAAATTAGTGAAGTAAAACAAGCAGTAAAACAGGCAATCAGAGAAGCACTTTGCTGTCCTTAGCGTTACCTCCTCCTCGGTTTGGTTTTGTAAGACTTTCATTAAGTCACGATTATTATTAGGGAACGCTCTTCAAAATATTATTGATTAAGCGGAAGAAATAAGAAGTTCAGTAGAATCGTTGTACGTCGAGCTTTTGTCAATAGTCTTTTCAAAGAGTAAACGCTAGTGAGGGAAATCTGATGAAGGTAGAATTGAAGATCTGTGCGGCGAATTTTGATAATTCCTTAACATACGTCCATTGATTTTGGACCACCACTTATAAATTGTTTACTTCACTTCAGTATTACGATGTAACCGTTGCAATTAAAGTAGAATTTTGAAAATTGCCCCAGAGCATCACAAAATTACCTGCCGTTTACACGAGAGCTTTCTTTATACAAAAACACCTTTATTATCTCACCAACAAGACGTGGGAAGAAAGGATATATATTATATCATAGGGTCACATAGGCTAACTTTTCCCCGTTATTGCTTAGTATTGTCTGCAATAAAGGGAGAATATTTCATTTAATCATCGGCCCTTAAATGACATCTTATCTTAATATACTGTTTATTTTATCATTTAAAAAAGGTATTATTAATCTATTTGTTTGTCAAAGAAATTAACTTTTAGTGCTAATTTTTACTTAAATTTAAATTCACTGATTGAGATTAGAAACTTGTCGCAGCCCACCCAAACGCGCTAGTGGTTCGATCGGCTGCAGTCACTATTCGGAGGAATTAAAATTTCCAGGATAAAACTCCTGCTCTGTATTAAAGAATTGAATGAGTTGTTTGTTTTTCTATCAGCAATTTTCCCGTCCGAAAATAAAACAATGGATCTAAAGTTAATATCTAAATATATATATATATATATAAATCCATTTTCGAAAACGTTGCTATTTGAAAAAATATATTAAATAGTCTGTGTATATATTTTCTTTTCTCATCACAAAGTGTCTCTTTTTGATGAGCAAAGAAAATATATATTTCTTTGATATATATATATTCAGATTTGAAAGGTTTTCAAAAACAGGTATTTACATATATTTATAGAGCCGAAGGAAACGCAGTCATGTAAACGAGGCCTAAAACAAGTCCGAATCTGTCTTGACAAGCAGGTGTCTTCTTAACAACTTTTTCCTTCCTTATTGTGCGATAAAAAGCACGTGGCAGTTTTAGTGAGTTTGAAATATGGGTCAGGGTTGGTAAAGACGAAGCCTCTCCTAGAGCAATTGTAATTTTTTTATCGACTGCTGATAAGCCTTGAGCGCCCATCCCTTCATTTTCCATCTCGATTAATAAATTACCTTGTAACTAATTGTCATCACTAAAGGAGAGTCATCAACTGTTTAAGAGAATCGCTGGAACAAAAATTGAATAACTTTCCTTTTACAGTTGCAGAAAATGGTTTGCTGGTGTGACAACTTGATTTTGTTACTATTTTGTTTTTAGTTCTAGTAGGATACGAAACGGAGAGAAAAAAGGCTTCAAAGCGCAATTAGATACACAGTTAATTTCAAATATTTTGAAACAAGTTTGTATGTGTGGCCGTATACATTAATTTTGAATAGTTGTGTAGTCTACGTAGTGCATTCGGTTATTGTCACGAATTCAATTTTTCTCTTACAACAATTGACATCGCCAGCTTGAGCTTTTGCATTTTTAGCTCTCCGTAGCTGATAATTCAAGTCTTAACTTCGCACGAAAGATATGGATCCTTGATTAGCATCCTATTATAATGGAATTTGATACTGATAAAGAGTGACTCTTTACCGCATTGTAAAAAACACTGAAATAACAGATGTTTCTATATTTGCCTTTAGTTGCTATTTCATAACTGAGGAACCCAAAGGTTCCCGAGGAAAAAAATCTTTTTTTGACCCAATGGAGAATTTCCAGTTGCATTTTAAATGAGTAAGTCTTTATGCGACTGTTAGGTAGAAAGTTAGGCTTCAGTAGTCATTGCTGCCTTTTTTCGTTGCAAGAACAGAGACCCACAAGAAAAGGGAAAAGCCGACGACAGAATTATGTTGATATCAAATTTCAGTAGCGGCAGAAGTCACACGAAATCATATGAAGAACTGATATGCTCTCCCTCTTTGATGGGTGGACATCAACAACTATCAATTTGTTTCTTGGCAGTTTACATTCTCCTCTCCATCACAGCATTTGCTGGGAATTCTCTCATCCTTTTTGCCCTTTATAAAGAATCTTCCCTACATCCGCCGTCCAAACTCCTGTATCGTTGTCTGGCAACCACTGATCTGTTGGTTGGTCTTGTTGCCCAGCCTCTCTATGCTACATATTGGATGTCCGTGTTTCAAGAACATTGGAGCCGTTGTCGATACGCCAGGGATGCAGGCTACGTCACAAGCTATGTATTGATTTTAGTGTCTTTGATGACGATGACGGCCATAAGCGTCGACAGACTTCTCGCCCTGTTGTTGGGGCTGAGATACAAACAAATTGTAACTTTGAAGCGCACGTATATCATTGTAACTACCTTTTGGGTTTTTAACATTGTCGCCTCTTTATGCGGAATTTTTTATCCCAGTATAATCTATTTGTACAGCTCCCTAGTTTCACCATTTTGCCTGGTAATATCCTTCGCATCGTACACAAAGATTTTTTGGACTCTCAGAAATCATCAAGCACAAGTAGGAGATCAACAACGGACGAGCCAAACAAATGCACTGAACATGGCACGATTCAGAAAGGCAGTGGACAGTGCACTGTGGGTGCAGTTAGCATTAGTTGTTTGTTATGCGCCAATGTATACAGTGGAAATTGTGGTCACTCGCACTAACAAATACTCATTACTCTTAGTCGTCGTACGGAAAGTAGCAATTATTTTACTTTACTTTAATTCGACTTTGAACCCGTTCCTATACTGCTGGAAGATTAGTGAAGTGAGACAAGCAGTGAAGCGGACACTGAAAGAAGCTCTTTGCTAAAATAGGTCTTTCTTGAGTTGTTCTTCAGACTTTCAAAGCAGGCTTATTAAGTCACGATTATTATTAGAGAGCAGTCGTTAAATAAGTTATTGGATAAAACCAAATAAGTGGCTCAATGAAATAGTTGCGCAGGCTGTTATCGATAGTCTTTATATCTCCGTGAACAATTTAACGACAGACTAAGTAACCCAGCTATGTGTTTTCAAAAATAAGGTTTCTTGTCGCTATGCTACAAGACAAGATGTCATAACGCAAGAAAATATATGCAAACATTTTACTGTCAAGGTTTCTACTCTTAGCAATAAGAAGGCATCAGATAAAACTTCAAAGAGTAGTTTGAGAGATGTGTTTGAGGCCGATGTTGTGTGTTACGATAAAACTATTTCAACTAGTTTTCCTATAATTAAAAGAAAGCGCTTGACGTTGATGTTGACGCCATATTGCCATAAGAGACGGTCTAGCTTCAGTCTTGAATTTGCTTTGTTATCAGAAAAATATCCGTAAAGCTCATGAGAAGAAGTCTTTGTTACTTGTATATTTAACTGAAAGTTACGAAAGTAAACGGAATAAAATTGACCATCTCTGATTGTTACAGAACTTTTTTACAGATCTATTGATGTTCTGAAATTATATTGGCAACAGCGAAAAACAAGTTTCGCATCATTTGCATAGAGGTCACCATATGTCCAGTTTGTTGCTTATGTATCTTTAGGTTGTCTCTGAGTTTCACGGATTTTATTTCCTCCATTTCTAAGTGATTAACCGCTGTCCCTAAGTTCCACAATTTTTTTTTTATTGAGTCGTTTTCAAGGCTTTGTATAAGCTCAGACTTTGCTTCAATATCATATCATCTAATTATCGCCCTAAAAACGACATGTTTATTTCACCCATTAAAGAAGTGACAAAATGGATCTTTTAAGACTTAGGAGGCCCATATCGTATTGTAAAACAAAAAATATAGCCCATGTCTTTGTGTTTGTCAAGGGAATTCTTTTTATTTCTACACAAGACATACATCAGTATAATACCCGATCAGCATCTTCTGATAACTACTATATTAACTATTTTAGGCTTAATCATCATAAAAACTCTTTTTCTGTCGTTGGGGCTAAAATTTGGAACAGTATTCCCGAAAGCTATCGAAGTCTGCCGAAGCACATATTCAAAAAGAAAATTCAAGCATTACTATTTGCAACTCTAGGAAGTCTGGATAGTTATGCTGACACTAGCACTCTTATTTCTGAAATAAAAAAGGCATCTTAATTATAATTCAAACATAATATATTAATTTACTTTTTATCACCTTTTCCCTCTTTTGTCAAATAATGTATGCAAAATCGAGTAATTCGCATAATTGGTGTTTTTGTAATTCGTGTTGTATGTCCTTAACACCGCCTGCCTAGATTAGCTCGCTATTTGCAGGAGGTGATTATTGTACAAAGATTTTCCTGCAAACTTAATAAACTTGAACTTGAACTTGTACAAAAACACTTTTATTATCTCAATAACCAGACGTAGGAAGAAAGAAAATTAGATCAAAGGGTCACATAGGCTAACTTTTCCTCGTTATTGTTTAGTACTGTCTTCAATAAAGGAAGAATATTTCAATTGGGCACTCAGATGACATCTTATCTTGATGTACTGCTTATTTCATCATTTAAAAAGATGACAAAAAAGTTTTCCTATCGTATTGTCAAACAGTAATACAACCGATGTCTATTTGTTTGTCAACGAAATTACCTTTTAGTGCTAATTTGTACTAAAACTGAAATTCTTTGAGATTAAAAACTTGTCGCAGCCCACACAAACGCCTTTAGTAGTTTGATCGGCTGCAGAAATTGAAAATTTTTGGATAAAACTCTTACTCTGTATTAAAGAATTGGATGAGTTGTTGGTTTGTCTATCAGCAGTCTCCTATTCCAAAATTAAAACAATGAATCTAAAGTTGATATATGAATATATATAAACCTATTTTCGAAAATGTTGCTATTTAAAAAAGACATTGTCAATAGTCTGTATAAATGTATATATTTTTTCTTTTCTCATTACAAAGTGTCTCTTTTTGAAGAGAAAAGAAAAGGCATAGTTATTTGATATAAATTTTCAAACAGGTATTTACATATATGTATAACGTCGAAAGAAACGTAGTCATGTAAACGAGACATAATACAAGTCCGAATCTGTCGTGGCAAGCAGGTGTCTTCTTAACAACATATTCGTTCCTCAGTGTGCGATAAAAAGCACGTGGCAGTTTTAGAGAGTTTGAAATATGTGTCAGGGTTGGTAAAGACGAAGCTTCTCCTGGAATTTTTTATCGACTGTTGATAAGGTTTGACCGCCCATCCCTTCATTTTCCATCTCGATTAATAAATTATCCTGTAACTAATTGTCATCACCAAAGGAGAGTCGTCAATTGCCTAAGAGAATCGCACGAACAAAAACTGAATAACTTTCCTTTTACAGTTGCAGAAAATGGTTTGCTGGTGTGATAACTTGATCTTGTTACTGTTTTGTTTTTGGTTCTAGCCGGTTACGAAGCGGAGAGAAAAAAAGCTACAAAGCGCAATCACATACACAGTTAATTTCAAATATTTTGAAACAAGTTTGTAAGTGGGTGTACGTTAATTTTGAATAGTTGTGTTGTCTACGTAGTACATTCGGTGATTGTCACGAATTCAATTTTTCTCCTACAACAACTGACATCGCCAGCTTGAGCTTTTGCATTTTTAGCTTTCCGTAGCTGATAAAAATTGAAGTCTTAACTTCACACGACAGATATGGACCCTTGATTAGCATCCTATTATAATGGAATTTGATTCTGATAAAGAGCGGCTCTTTGTCGCATTGTAAAAACACTGAAATAACAGCTGTTTCTATATTTGCCTTTAGCTGCTATTTCATAACTGAGGAACCCAAAGGTTCCCGAGGAAAAAATATTTTTTTTGACCCAACAGAAAATTTCCTGATGTATTTTAAATAAGTAAGTCTTTATGCGACTGTTAGGTAGAAAGTTAGGCTTAAGGAGTCATTGCTGTCATTTTTCGTTGCAAGAACAGAGACCCACAAGAAAAGGGAAAAAGCCGACGACAGAATTATGTTGATATCAAATTTCAGTAGCGGAAGAAGTCACACGAAATCATATGAAGAACTGATATGCTCTCCCTCTTTGATGGGTGGGCATCAACAACTATCAATTTGTTTCTTGGCAGTTTACATTCTCCTCTCCATCACAGCATTTGCTGGGAATTCTCTCATCCTTGCCGCCCTTTATAAAGAATCTTCCCTACATCCGCCGTCCAAACTCCTGTATCGTTGTCTGGCAACCACTGATCTGTTGGTTGGTCTTATTGCCCAGCCTCTCTATGCTACATATTGATGTCTGTGTTTCAAGAACATTGGAGCCGTTGTCGATACGCCAGGGATGCAGGCTACGTCACAAACCATGTATTGATTTTAGTGTCTTTGATGACGATGACGGCCATAAGCGTGGACAGACTTCTCGCCCTGTTGTTGGGGCTGAGATACAAACAAATTGTAACTTTGAAGCGCACGTATATTATTGTAACTACCTTTTGGGTTTTTAACATTGTCGCCTCTTTATGTGGAATTTTTTATCCCAGTATAATCTATTTGTACAGCTACCTTGTTTCACCATTTTGCCTGGTAATATCCTTCGCATCGTACACAAAGATTTTTTGCACTCTCAGAAATCATCAAGCACAAGTAGGAGACCAACAACGGACGAGCCAAACAAATGCGCTGAACATGGCACGATTCAGAAAGGCAGTAGACAGTGCACTGTGGGTGCAGTTAGCATTAGTTGTTTGTTACACGCCAATGTTTACAGTGGAAATTGTGGTCACTCGCACTAACAAATACTCATTACTCTTAGTCGTCGTACGGAAAGTAGCAATTATTTTACTTTACTTTAATTCGACTTTGAACCCGTTCCTATACTGCTGGAAGATTAGTGAAGTTAGAAAAGCAGTGAAGCGGACACTGAAAGAAGCTCTTTGCTAAAATAGGTCTTTCTTGAGTTGTTCATCAGACTTTCAAAGCAGGCTTATAAAGTCACGATTATTATTAGAGAGCAGTCGTTAAATAAGTTATTGGATAAAAAACCAAATAAGTGGCTCAACGAAACAGTTGCGCAAGCTGTTATCGATAGTCTTTATATCTCCGTGAACAATTTAACGACGGACTAAGTAGCCCCAGCTATGTGTAAAATAAGGTTTCTTGTCGCTCTGCTAAAAGATAAGATGTCATAACGCAAGAAAATATATGCAAACATTTTACTGTCGAGTTTTCTACTCTTAGCAATAAGAAGGCATCAGATAAAACTTCAAAGAGTAGTTTGAGAGATGTGTTTGAGGCTGATGTTGTGTGTTACGAGAAAACTATTTCAAATAGTTTTCCTATAATTAAAAAAAAGCGCTTGGCGTTGATGTTGACGCCATATTGTCAAAAGAGACGGTCCAGCTTCAGTCTTGAATTTGTTTTGTAATCAGAAAAATATCCGTAGAGCTCATGAGAAGAAGTCTGAGTAAATGGAATAAAATTGACCATCTCTGTTTGTCACAGAATTTTTTTACAAATCGATTGATGTTCTGAAATTATGTTGGCAACAGCGAAAAACAAGTTTCGCATCATTTGTATAGAGGTCACCATATGTCCAGTTTGTCGCTTATGTTTCTTTAGGTTGTCTCTTAGTTTCACGGATTTTATTTCCTCCATTTCCAAGTGATTAACCGCTGTCCCTAAGTTCCACAATTTTTTTGTTATTGAGTCGTTTTCAAGGCTTTGTATAAGATCAAACTTTGCTTCAATATCATATCATCTAATTATCGCCCTAAAAACGACATGTTTATTTCACTCATTAAAGAAATGACAAAATGGATCTTTTAAGCCTTAGGAGGCCCATATCGTATTGTAAAACAAAAAACATAGCCCATGTCTTTGTGTTTGTCAAGGGAATTCATTTTCAGTGCTAATTTGAAATTAAACAAACTTTATTTACTGAAATCGACAGCTGGTTGCGACGAACATGTTCTTGTTTAATTATCAAGGTACTGAATTATCATAGAGGATCAGAAAGAAAATTCCCTGGGAAAGAACTCTTGTTAAGGGAGGGATTGACGCGTCTTCAGCGATTAAGTTTCGTCTGATTTTTCTGTCAGCTAATCCTCCGTTGGTAAATGAAATGACTAATTTGAAGCCGGAATAAAATATTAAATCTATAGAGAGAAATCGTTTTGCAAAAACGAAAATTTTTCCAACTTAAAACGAGGAGGCGTGTTTGTGGTGGTTAACTGATTTTTCCTAAACTTTAACAGGGTATTTTTAACAGTTGTTTAGTGTGTCACTGTGCGGCCATTAAATATACGATAAACGCAGGAAGTTTGGAGAGCTTGAAAGATACGCGGGAGTTACTTAACACGCAACCAAGAATGATCGTAGGTTCATAAATAATAAATGCTGTTTATGTATGTTTAACAAGGTGTAGTTTATAACTCGACATCGTCACGGGAATAATCAACAATATTATTATTCACTTCATCTTCGGCAAATAATTGTTAAATATTTTTATGGAGTGTTGATAGTTTTTAAGTATCCATTCCTTCATTTTCCTTCTCGGTCAATAGATTATCATGTCCAATTTAGCACAGTCATATATAACTTTGGTTATCGGAGGAGAATTGCCAATCGCTCAGGGGAATTACGACATGAAGAATTCAGTCACTGCTATGTACATGAAAGCGTTGGCAGAGAAAAATTTAGGCGAACTTCGTCTTACAATTTTTCCAACGATCACTTTAAAACTTTTGGCCAAAGGAGGAGAACAAATAGAGAATGTAAAAGAAACAGCGAAAAATTGTTTAAAAAAGTAATTTTTTGCCTTTCTTCTGTTTTGTTTCTCGTTTTGTCGGAGACGAAACGGAGGTAAAAGAGCCACAAAATGTTACTAATTAAGTTTGCATCTGAGGCCATGGCTCAATCTTATTTACGCAAATGATATGGACATTTGATTGACACCCAATGTCGATGAAACTATGTTGTATAAACATCTGCCTTCAAATTCAGAATTTACCACAATACAGGCCCAAAAGAATGAAAGTATATTTAGATATACCGCTTAAACCGCTTATGCTGTCATTCCAAAACTGACAAAAGAGAGTTTCCTTATCATATCGTCAATGGAAAATTTTACCGATGTCTGTGCGCTTGCCAAAGAAATTAACTTTTAATGCTAATTTGAAGTTAAATTCAACTTAACCTACTGGAATATACAGCTGGTTGCGACAAATATATGCTTGTTTAGTTTTTAAGTTGTCGTCGCCACAATGAGTTATCAGAGTAGAAGCAAGCTTCCTAAGGAAAAAAGGCACCTACAAAAGAAACTGATTTAATATTCGCACTTTTCAGTGATTAACTCATTTTTTAAGAATGGTTAGTAACTATATCTGCACTTGTAAGAAAAATGGTAGATCGAAAATGAAAAATATCAAGTTTGAACATGAAAATTGGCATCAAACGAAAAAGAAATTAATATTTTGGTACCCGATGGATCTCTAGGATTAAAATGATACCTAGCGCGTAGGGCCATCATGGCTGGTGCAAAACAATGGTTTCTCCACCTCCTCTACTTTCAGTTAGCGCCCATTTTTCTTATCTCGTTGACCAATAGGAAGAAGAAAGGAAATTACATCATAGGGCGAAACGCCATTGCACAATTTATCAAAGGCACGGTTACATAGGTCAAGTAAAGCATTTTGGGATTCAAGATGGAGGACGAAGGGGCTAGAAACTACGGTTGACGGTCGACTAAAAACATGGCGTTTTCCCGAAATTTTTCTTGGGTTTTAAAAATGGCGTCACATTGAGAACTATTTAGTAGTATTTGGGCTGTTTTTCCACCAAGTTTGGAACCAATTTAGTGGCTTCAATGGCTCCAATTTTTGCACTATAAATGAAGTTTAGCATGTGAGCAAATCAGTTATATCTGGAAGAACATTCCTGTGAACCCGTGAAGTGGGTTGATTTTCGACAATTTATGCAGTTATTAAGAAAATGTATGGCGGAGTGCGAGGATTTCTACGTCCAACAAAAATTGCTTCGAGAACCGCTTTAACACATGGAAATGCACATAGAGCACGCAGCAAAAGATTGTACATATAATCCACTTTATTTTGCGATCTAGAAGAACTTGTCTCCTCTGGCGGTTGCAACACAGGAGCAATTATTAAAAGAAGGTTGAAGAAGGTTAAAAGAAGGAAAGAAGGAATTAAAAGAAGTTTGCTGAAAGTGCACTGTTTTCCTTGTAGTGATTTTGCGACTCGTTTGTAACCAAAGACCGAGTTCGACATCGATGCGCGTGCGTGGCGGCCATGCTGTCACGGATTTCTGGCTATCCAGTTGAAGTGAAAGAGGAAATTGCAGAAAATAATTTGCTGGCGTAATAACTTGATCTTGTTACCATTTTGTTTTTGGTTCTAGTCGGGCACGAAAACGGAGAGAAAAAAAGCCACAAAGCGCAATTAGATACACAGTTAATTTCAAATATTTTGAAACAGGTTTGTATGTGTGGCCATACATTAATTTTGAATAGTTGTGTAGTCTACGTAGTACATTCGGTTATTGCCACGAATTCAATTCTTCTCCTACAACAATTGACATCGCCAGCTTGAGCTTTTGCAGTTTTAGCTTTCCGTAGCTGATAATTCAAGTCTTAACTTCACACGAAAGATATGGCCCTTGATTTGCATCCTATTATAATGGAATTTGATTCTGGTAAAGAGCAACTCTTTGTCGCACCGTGAAAACACCGAAATAACAGATGTTTCTATATTTGCCCTTAATTGCTATTTCATGACAGAGACACCCAAAGGTTCCCGGGAGAAAGAATAATTTTTTTTGACCCAATAGAAAATTTCCTGATGCATTTAAAGTGAGTAAGTCTCTATGCGCTTGTTAGTTACGAAGTCAGGCTTCAGTAATCCTTGCCATTTTTCGTTGCAAGAACAGAAACCTACCAGAAAGAGGAAATGCCGAGGACTGAATTATGTCGACAGCAAATTTCAGTAGCGGTGGAAGTCACACGAAACCATTTGGAGAACTACTATGCTCTCCCTCATTGGTGGGTGGGCTTCAACAACAACTATCAATTTTTTTCTTAACGGTTGACATTCTTCTCTCCATCACAGCATTTGCTGGAAATTCTCTTATCCTTGTGGCTCTTCACAAGGAATCTTGCCTGCATCCGCCGTCCAAACTCCTGTATCGTTGTCTGGCAACCACTGATCTGTTGGTTGGTCTTGTTGTCCAGCCTCTTTATGCTGCATATTTGATGTCGGTGGTTCAAGAACACTGGAGCCTTTGTCGATACGCATATTACGCAGTCTTCATCACCGGTAGTGTATTGTTTTTGGTATCTCTTATGACGATGACAGCCATTAACGTGGACAGACTTAAATAATAAATAATAATAATAAATAATGACAATCTTTAATGAGGAAACTTTTTCACTAAAAAGTGGTTTACAAAAAGGACCTCGAAAATTAAAAATTAAAAATTTACAATGAATAAAAATGCTAAAAGATGCTACTAAAAACTAATGTATCTTATGTGTAATACAAAACTTAAATCAATGAATTAAAAATCTGACGCTTCAAAATATTTACATTATCAGAGGCTCGTATAGTTTTGTCCAGCGAGTTAAAATCACTTACAGCATGATAGCCAGTTCTTTGTTTACCCCAGTTTCTTTTAACGGATGGAATTTTGAGGTTTGCTTTATTTCTTGTGTTGTAACTATGCTGTTCTTGCTGAGTGACTAATGTTAATTCGTGATGCGTGAGACCATTAAGACATTTCTATACATGTACGCATCGGCGCTGGAAGCGCCTTTTTTCTAGTGTTAACCACTTCAGTGTAGTTAACGCATCAGACGCAGAGGAATACAGTGGTCGATCTAATATTATTTTAGCCGCCTTATTTTGAAGCACTTGCAAACTAGACATTAAAGTTACATTGTGTTTGTCTCCCCAAACTAAATCAGCATACTCGAATAAGGGCATAACAAGGCTTTTATAAAAAAGGATGCGCGCCTTAAACGGTAACAAATGCTTAATGCGTCTAAGTAGGCCAAGCCTTTGATTAACTTTCCCTGCCATGTATTCGACATGATTTGTCCACGAAAAATCAGACGATATTAAGATTCCAAGATATTTAAAACAAGTAACATTGTTTATACAATGATCAAAGATTGAAACAGATAGAGCTATTTTCCTCTGTAACTTCTTGTTACTGCCTATAAGCATGCATTTGGTTTTCTCCAGATTCAGTGTTAACTTATGTTCATTCAGCCATTTCGCCACAGCCAGGAGGTCTTGGTTGAGCTTTTCAGTCAGCTCCTGAGAGGAAGACCCATAGCAGTAGATCACCGTATCATCTGCATAAAGTGATGCTTGACAGGCATCTAGAACGCTTGGCAAATCGTTAATGTAGATGACAAATAGCAGAGGACCCAGAATACTTCCCTGAGGGACCCCATGGGTAACTGGCAATTCATCAGACAACTCATTCCCACAACATGTACGCTGTTTCCTGTCAGTAATGTAAGAGCGGAACCACTGAAGCGAGTTCTCACATAAACCAATTTTGGAAAGCTTGCGTAACAAAAATCCGATGGTCCACGGTGTCGAAAGCCTTGGTTAAATCCAAAAACACGGCCCCACACAGTTTACCTTGTTCCATGTTCAATAAGACTTCATCAGCAAATGATGTCAAAGCAGATTCAGTAGAGAGCCCCTTCCTGAATCCAAACTGTTTCCTTGTGAGAAGGTTGTTAATAACCAAGTATTGGTACAACTGGGAATGCACGGCTTTCTCGAGAATTTTACTGAGTGTCGGTAAAATAGAGATAGGTCGATAGTTCGATGCATTTGACCGGTCGCCAGATTTAAACAAGGCTGTAATTTTTGAGCATTTCCACAATTTAGGAAATTTACCAGTAAGAATCGATCGATTCAACAGCTTAGTGATGGAGGGAGGATTGTATTAGCAGAGCTCTTGAGTAGTCTAGCACTAATTTTGTCCAAACCAATTGCTTTATTTGTCTTCAAAGAGGTAAGCTGCTGAAGCACAAACGATTCCTCTAGTTCAGTTAACTGGAACTGAGACAACGGTTGTTCTAAAACCAAGTTGCAATTCGACCAGGTAGTCGTTATTTTGTCAGCTAGGCGCTTGCCTATGGATGCAAAGAAGCTATTCAAAGCAACAGCAATGGATTTGGAAGTGGTGTGCTGAATGCCATCGGAAATGATGCACTGAACCTTTTCTGAGGATGAATTACGATTGCATGCTTCGTTTACAGCTTTCCACATTTTGCCGTGATCTCCTCTGGCTTCCTCGATCATGTCACAGTAATATTTCGACTTAGCAGATTTTACTAAGCGGTTTACTTTGTTCCTCAGTTTCCTGTAAGTGTTCCAGTGCTTTTCTGAGTTCGATTTACGTGCTTTACGATGATACCAGTCTCGATCTCTCATTGATTCGCTAATTTTGCTATTCATCCAAGGAAGAGGTGTTCCCTTCACACGTCGTCGTTTGACAGGTGCATGATCGTCTGCAACTTCTGAAAACAGTTTGTTCCAAGTTAATAAAGCGTCATCGATATTGTTTTCATTGTCAACGACGTGCCAAGGAACATTCCTAAGATCTTCGTTAAATGAATTCGCATCGAAATTCTTGTAAGAGCGATACTCAAACATTCTTGGATGTGCTTTTGTGTGCACACCAGTCTTTAGAATGCAAAACACCAGGTAATGGTCGCTCAATGGAAACGGAACAACACCAGATTTAACAATGCGATGTTCATTATTGACAAAAATCAGGTCAATCAAGGTTCGTGAGGTGTCAGATATTCGAGTAGGCTCTTTTATCAGCTGTGTGAAGTCAAAAGCGCGCGAGAAGTTGAGAAGTAGTTGTTTGTCTTTCTTGGGCAATTTTGAATTAGGCATCATGTTTGCGTTTAGATCTCCTAAAATGACCACATCCGATTTTTCAAGATCAACAGCAGGCATACTATCTCGCAGAGACGAAATAAAAGTGCGGAGATCGGCATCTGGTGCTCTATAAGCGCAACATAATAACGTTGGCTTACATTTATCTCGAATTAACTCAATCCATAAACATTCCTGTCCACCAGTATTGATATCATTCCGCAAACGAAACGCCAAATCTTCTCTAACATACATAGCAACTCCGCCATATCCCTCTTTATTGCCAGTGCGATCTAACCTTATGCACACAAATCCAGGGAGTTTTATTTCAGCATCACTTGTTGAGGAATCCAGCCAAGTCTCGGACAAAGTTAGCACGTCAAAAGTTTTGTTGTTAATTCCCTCAAGACGCAGAGAGTCGGTTTTGTTTGCGAGACTTCGTATATTCAAGTGAGCAATCTTGAGACCTCTAGTGGACTTGATATCAGCAAATGTCTGGTAGCCGGGATTAATCTCAATGTCACCAGCAAGAGCAATAAGAGTCAAAGCAAAACAGGCACGATGAAAAAAGCTTACAAAGCATAACACTCTTCAGTCGTCCATTAGACTCTTGCCTCCGGGTCGGTTCGTTTCGATGAAATGAAGCACCAGCAACTTCAGCCCTGCAATTCATCTGGGAAACAAAATACGTCTCTCTATCGTTAAGCAAAGTGTTCTCATATACATCTGAGAACCTGAGGAACTCCAAAGTGATGTAAATACAGAGAAACACACATAAATTTGCGGAGAGCTTGAAGCCGCGTCCGAACGCCATATTGTCACGACGCTAAGCCGACTTCTCGCCCTGATGTTGGGGCTGAGATACAAACAAATTGTAACTTTGAAGCGCACGTATATTATTGTAACTACCTTTTGGGTTTTTACTCTTGTCGCCTCTTTATGTGGAATTTTTTATCGCCGTATAATCCTTTTGTATAGCAGGCTAGTTACATCATTTTGCCTGATAATATCACTCGCATCGTACGCAAAGATTTTTTGCACTCTCAGATATTATCAAGCACAAGTAGGAGATCAACAACAGTCGAGCCAAACAAAAGCACAGAACATGGCACGATTCAGAGAGGCAGTGTACAGTGCACTTTGGGTGGAGTTAGCATTAGTTGTTTGTTATGTACCAATATATGTACTGGGAATTGTGATCACTCATACTAAAAAATATTCATTACTCTCGGTCGTCACATGGGAAGTAGCAGTTACTTTACTTTACTTTAACTCGACGTTAAACCCGTTCCTATACTGCTGGAAGATTAGTGAAGTGAGACAAGCAGTGAAGCACACAGTTAGACAAGCACTTTGCTGAGTAAGATCTTCCTTGAGTTCTTCAGACTTTCAAAGCAAACTCATTAAGTCATGATTATTATTAGAGAGAAGTCGTTAAATACGATTTTTGGATAAAAGTAAATAAGTGGCTTAATAGAATAGTTGCACAGGCTGTTGTCGATAGTCTTTATATCTCTGACAACAATTTAACGACGGACTAAGTAACCCTAGCTATGTGTTTTCAAAAATAAGGTTTCTTGCCGCTATGCTAAAATACAAGATGTCATAATCGAAGAAAGATATGCAAACATTTTACTTTCATGTTTTCTCCTCTTAGTAATATGAAGGCATCAGATAAAACTTCAAAGAGTAGTTTGAGAGATGTGTTTGAGGCCGATGGTGTGTGCTACGATAAAACTATTTCAACTACTTTTCCTATAATTAAAAGAAAACGCTTGACGTTGATGTTGACGCCGTATTTCCAAAAGAGACGGTCCAATTTGTTTGTTTTGTGATCAGAATATTATCCGTAAAGCTTATGTGAAGAAGTTTTTGCTACTTGTATATTTACCTGAAGGTTACGAAAGTATACGGAATAAAATTGACCATCTCTGTTTATTACAGAATTTTTTTACAGATCGATCGATGTTCTGAAATTATATTGGCAACGGCGAAAAACAAGTTTTGCATCATTTGTATAGAGATCACTATATGTCCAGTTTGTCGCTGGTGTATCCTTAAGTTGTCTGTGAGTTTTACGGAATTTATTTCCTCCATTTCCGAGCGATTAACTGCTGTCCCTAAGTTCCCCAATTTTTTTTTTTATTCAGTCGTTTTCAAAGCTTTTGTATGAGCTCAGAGTTTGCTTCAATATTATACCATCTAATTATCGCCCTAATAACGACATGTTTATTTCACCCGTTAAAGAAGTGATGATATCGATCTTTTAAGACTTAGGAGTCCCATAACGTATTATAAAACAAAAAAATATAGCCCATGTCTTTGTGTTTGTCAAGGGAATTCACTTTCAACGCTAATTTGAAATTAAACTGAAAGGTTACTTACTGAAATCAACAGCTGGTTGCGACGAACATGTTCTCGTTTAATTATCAAGGTACTGAATTATCAGATAGGATCAGAAAGAAAATTCCCTGGGAAAGAACTCTTGTTAAAGGAAGGATTGACGCATCTTGTAGCGATTAAGTCTTTCGTCTGATTTTTCTGTCAGCTAATCCTCCGTTGGTAAATGAAATGACTGATTTGAAGCCGGAATAAAATGTTGAATCTATAGAGAGTAATTATTTTGCGAAAACTAAAATTTTTCCAACTTAAAACGAGGCGGCGAATCTGTGGTGGTTAACTAATCTTTGACAGGGTATTTTTAAAAATTGCTTCGTGCGTCAGTGAGCGGTCATTAATATACGATGCACACAGGAAGTTTGGAGAGCTGGAAAGATACGCTGGAGTAGCTTAACACGCAACCAAGAGTGACCGTAGGTTCATAAATAATAAATGCTGTTTATGTAGGTTTAACAAGGTGTAGTTTTTAACTACTCACTTCACCTTCGGTGAATTGTTAAATATTTTAATCGAGTGTTGATAGTTTTTAAGTATCCATTCCTTCATTTTCCTTCTCGGTCAATAGATTATCATGTTCAATTTAGCATAATCATATAACTCTGGTTATCGGAGGAGAATGGCAAATCGCTCAGGGGAATTACGACATGAAGAATTCAGTCACAGCTATGTACATGGAAGCGTTGGCAGAGGAAAATTTAGGCGAACTTTGTTATGTAATTTTTTCCAGGACTATCATTTTAAAATTTTTGGCGAAAGGAGGAGAACAAATAGAGAATGTAAAAGAAACAGCGAAAAATTGTTTAAAGCAATTTCCTGCTTTTCTTCTGTTTTGTTTCTCGTTTTGTCCGAGACGAAACGGAGCTAAAAGAGCCACTAAATGTTACTAATGACACTGTTTAATTCAAACCTTTTGAAGTAAGTTTGCATCTGTGGCATTCACGCAAATGATATGGACATTTGATTGACACCCAATATCGATCAAACTATGTTGTGTAAACATCGGCCCTCGATGGTTCCATGTTCGAATTATTAGCACTGCGGCACGACGTTCCCTCGCCCCGGGTCGTGTTGCTCAAAGTCTCAAACTTATTCACGGGCGAAGTAACTCGTACTGAAGCATTGATAGTGAGTGCCTTCTCGCAAGCTAAATAAAGCGGAATTGTTTGATGCAACATGAAAAAATAATCTTAAAGATGTCTTTAAATATTTGCCTCTTATTGTTATTTCATACGTGATGTTCATCAGTAACAAGTTAGGCACAAAAGGCTTTTTTGACATAACAAACAATTTTCAGACATATTTCAAACGTGTAAACAATAGTTAGGAAGTTTTTGTTTGAGATGTCACGTAGGAAATAGGGTTCCAGAAATCATGGTTGTGCAATTGGCGTGTAAACGAAATATTTTTCTCGTTGCTAACACAGATTTCTACTTTTGAAATATTTGTTATATCCAGTTTAATACTGGTCTGTGATTAAGTTTTTCTTCAAGTTTTATTGATCCAATGTCTCCGAGTGATTAAGTGTTCCTTACTTTCGCTCCTTTTTCTTTGAACTCGTTTCATGAAGCTTTTTAGGAATTCAGAATTCACCACAATACAAGGGTGATCTTTGCACTTAATTACCTACCCAAAAGAATGACAGTATATTTAAATATATCCATTAAACCGCTTATGTTGTCATTTCAAAAGTGACCAAAGAGAGTTTCTTTATCATATCGTTAAACAAAAATATTACCGATGTCTGTGTGCTTGCCAAAGGAATTAACTTTAATGCTAATTTGAAGTTCAATTGAACTTAACCTACTGGAATAAACAGCTGATTGCGACAAATATATGCTTGTTTAGTTTTAAAGCTGCCGTGGCCACAATGAGTTATCAAAGAGGATTAGAAGGAAGCTTCCTAAGAAAAAAGGACTCCCAAAGAAGATTAATAATCGCATTTTTCAGTGTTTAAATCACTTCTTAAGAATGTCTAGTAACCATATCTGCATTTGTAAGACAAATTTTAGATCGAAAAGGAAAAAATATAAAGTTTGAATAAAAATTGGCATGAAACGAAAAAGAAACGAATATTTTGGTACCCGATAGAACTCTAGAATTAACGAGATCGAACACGTGGAGCCATCATGGCTGGTGCAAAAAAATGGTTTCTCCGCCTCGTCTATTTTCCACTTAGCGCCCAAAAATTCGCTTGTTATGCATTTGTAGTCAATATTGTCTTGCTCTCCGCGTTTCCCGCGGTTGATGAAGTTTGTTTCTATTGTGAGTCCATATTACCACTTTGTGATATTCCTCTTTCGAAATTGGCCTTTCAGTTCTTGATCCGGCTTCTAGATTTAAGCACTTGAAAGGCCAGTTATAAACTTGAATTTGTTTTTTAGCTGAAAATGTTCATAATTATGAATTTTGGAGGTGTTGTTGTCACTTTTAAGTTTTTAAAAAAACAACGTGTTATCGTTTTTACGAAATTGGAAATAACGGTTTAACCTCTTCGCTCAGTTGTAAATTTATTTCTTCCTGAGAAGATGGAGTTTCAAATAAAATAATAATATTATCACAGATGTCTATACGTTTGACTCTAGATGCTACTTCAAGCTTAAATTAACTCTGTCGATAAGACAAACATGCAGATGTGGCGCACTGTAGACTAATCTAAGGCTTTTAAGGAGATAAATCCAGAATAAAGTGTCACATTATGAATTTCCTGGTGAAAGTAAAAAAGCTGGTAGAGAATGAATTTGGAAAAATGGTTTGGCAGCGTAACATTTTGTTACGGTTTTGTTTTTTGACATTAGTCAAAACGGAGATGCAAAACGAAAGGGAAAAAAACGTAAAACTGTCATCACTAATTAATTCCAACATTTAAAAATACAGTTGCATCTGTGACCAAGTTGTTCGATGTATTCACGATTGTCTCAAATCCAACTTTTTTAAGACTAAGTAAAATCGCCAGCTTGAAATTCTTATTTCCAATTTTTTATGGCCAATAATGATATAGGTCTGAACTACATACAAATCAGACATGGTTTGATGCTACTCTGCTTTAAAGATTTGATGAATGTAACCGAGAAATTACAATTCATAGACCCAACGTTTCTCCATTTTCTAGTTATTTCCATTTCATACCTGAGGCACTTCGAAGGTTTCTGTCGTATTTTGAATTAGTAAACGCTGGTGAGGAAGTCTCTACGTGAAAATCATTAAAAAGGTATGTTGTTATTGATCGTGGCTGATTGTGGGTTGCTTAGACGAAATACTGATTTTTTTGTTGCAATCTTAGATAACCTACAAGAAAAGAGGAACGAATGAAGGATGATATCTACAACAAATTTAATTAGAGGTGGAACACAGACGAAAACAGTATCCATGTTACAATATCCCATTATAAAGGGATGCTAATCAACGGTCCATATCTTTTGTGTTTCGTTAAGACTTGAATCATTATCAGCTACGGACAGCAAAGTGCTGCTCTTAGTGTCTGTTTTACTGCTTGTCTTACTTACCCAGTTTTCCAGCAGTAAAAGACGGATATAACTTCAAGTTAAAGTAAAATAAGACAACTGATACTCTCCATATAATTGTCTGGCCTTGTCATTGTTTAACGCGGGATCCATTGTAATTGGCTAAAGCTGTAGTGGTCTCCCTCGGCCTCGTTTTGAGTACGAAATTTCATCAAATATTAAATTAATCATTTCGTAACATATACATACATACATACATACATACATACATATATATATATATATATATATATATATATCTTTGATCAGCAATTGAATGTTATTTTATTCTTAGTGTTTTCCCTTGTATGTCACAGGTAAAAGGCTGGAATCTGCTGCTAAATAACAATGTGAGAGAGAACTACAAGTTTGTTTAAATGATAAAGTTTAATAAAAGCACAAATTAGCATTAAGAGTCAGATTTAGTGACGTTTGTTTTATTATATCATTGTATTACACC